CGTGGTAGAGCAACTTCCCGTTGGAGACGACGAACGGGTAAAACGGCCTTTAAGAAAAATCGCGAGGCAACAACACACAAGGAGGGTAAGGTATTCGAGTGATCAAGATTGGTTGCACATTGTGTTACATTGGATCCTCAACTCGGTGCCTATCCAGACACCGAGGAGTCTACATCCACCAGCCTCTAAACTCCAAATCAAGCCTTCGGCCACAGGGTATCCTTCACATTCAACAACCTCTCCACCGCGTCCTCCCTCCCCTCGTCGCCCAACTTCCTCGCGTCTGTCAGCTTCAACCACCTTTCCAACACCCCCCTCAACTCCTTCTCCGACCGCCCCAGCACATCGACCCCGCGATCCGTGCACGCAAGCCGCACCTCCTCCGGCACGAGCGCCTTCGCCCCACCAGACTCAATCAGCAGCCCGTCATCGATCCCCAACAGCGCCAGCCTCTCCCTTACGCGCTTGCCGACCACAACCGCCGGAATCCACGCCCGCGGCCGCAGGCCCAGTATCCCAGCCGTATCCACCACCGTCCCCGTCCCGCTGGCAGCAGCAGCGACCGCGACCCTCGCCCGCGCCGCCTTCCGCTCCGCCTCCACCTTCCCCAGCAGCTGCTCCACCTGCTTCGGGATCCTGCACGTCAGCGGCACCGCGCCGGGGACCGCCAATACAACGAACGGCGTCAGCTCGCCGCACACGACGAGGAGGACCGCGAAGAGCGGGAGCCGGCGGACGTCGTGCAGCCAGCGCAGGCGCAGGTGGAGGGCGGCGCGGGAGTTGGCGGGCGGCGGTGGCGGGTCGGTGGGGGACGGCTTGCCCCGGACGAGACGTGTGTTGGCGAGGATGTGCTTGACGCCGGTTTTGTAGAAGGTGATGTAGGCGACGCCCTTGGCAAGGAGGTTGGCGAAGGGGAATTTTTTCGGGGCGGGGGTGCCAGTTGCTGCTGCTTGGGAGGGCTCGGCGGGGAGGTTGAGGGGGGGTGGCCGGGTTGTTGGTGGGGGGTTGACGGGGCAGGGGAGGAGGGATTCTGCGGTTGCTGTTGCGTTGGTTGGTGTTGCTCGTGCTGTTGTTGTCGCATTGGTAGTCGCTCTTGCGGCGGAGGACTGGGAATGTCGGGGATTGGGCGAGGCGGATGTGTACGAGCGGAGCGTCATGCCCTTGGAGAGGGAGAGGGAGTGGACGACAGGGCGGGTGTCGGCGGGGGAATAGTGCGAGAGTCGGCGGGCATTTGCACGCAATGCCCTGCCGAGGACGGCGTGATGTCTCATGGCACGGGAGGGATGTGTGCGCGGCCCGGCGGCGAGGGAGATGCAGCGGGTGCTGGATGCAAGGCGCGACAGCGCGGTGCAGAGAGAGGGAGAGAGAAAATGTGGTGGGTGTTGTCCAGGGTGGATGAATTGAAGCTTGGCGTGTTCTGGCCAGAAAATTTAGTGGGGCTCTGGGCAACCTTCGGGCTCGCGACTTGGCATTCAACGCTCATCCCTGTTGACTGAACGAACCCCTAAGCTGGAACCCGACCATCCGAGCGTTTACTTACCCAATGCGCCTTTGCTCGCTTAACAGATCAGCACACTGGCTTGGTGGCCCAATGGTAGGGCGTCGCTTTCCGGTAATCCGAATCTGGCGAAGATTCAGGGTTCGAGTCCCTGCCGAGTCGAAACTTTTTCATGGTATCACCTTTTTTATCTTTACTTCTGTCCTTGCCTTCTTTTTTTCTCTCCTGCCTGTCTTCTTGGCTGTCCGCGTTGTTGGTATCGTCGTCCGCAGCTCCCGTCGCGAGGAGGGGTTTCTGAGGATGGAGATCGTTGACGGGCAGTACCAAAAGGCGCCGAAGCTACAGTCGCAGCGGGGTCAGGGGTGAGGCAGAAGCTCTCCTGTTCGGCTTGCCATGCCTCGAAGTAGGTCTTCCTCACGCGAGACGAAGCACCCCTCTGGGCGACCTATTTTCATCCTCAGCACGCTTTTCTACCGCCACCCCTCCTCCCTCCTCGATCATGGACCAGACTCCCGCACCCACAACAACCCACGCAGACGCAGACCCGCCAACGCCGCCCAGGCTCTTCAATGTGCATTCCCTACGCTGGGAACCGCAGGCCGCCACCCCTCCTCCCTCCTCGATCATGGACGCAGACACAGACCGGCCAACGCCGCCCAGGCTCTTCAACGATGTGCATTTCCAACGCTGGGAACCGCAGGGACCCCGCCATGTCGCCCCGTGAACTCCCTTTGCCTGTCTCCCCCCAGAGCTGCGCCGGTACCTCTGGCTGGCCTGTCTCCGGCGGCACCGCATGATCGATCTCGACATCCGCGCCCCCGCCGGCGAGGATGCCGCCGTCCACTCAGACCACGGTTCCCAGTACTACAGCCACCGCAACGCTCTTGGCAACATCGTCAGCGGTCGGGACTATGTGTTGAGCTGGAGCGGCGACCGCCAGGGTCCTGCCGGAGCCTACAGCCCGTTGCTGTGGGTGAGCCGCGAGGCGAGGCGGGCTGCGCTCGCCTTCTACCGCGTGCAGCTGCCCTTCTTCGGGCTGCACAGAGACCGGGTCCTGTACCTCAACCCGACCTACGATGTGGTCTCGATCCAGCCCCAGTGGAGGCCAGGCCGTGTCGCGTCGCACAGGCTGCTGGCTGACCTTCTGCACGATATCAAGGCCTACGACCGCAAGGGGCAAGGGTACGTGTATGAGCGGGTCCTTGGTTCTCGCCGGGCAGGCAGCTAACAGTGTGCGTCTTTACGGCAGCGTTGCCCACCTTGCACTGAACGGGGGGTCATTCGGCCACGACTGGCTGGTCGCGGGCTCGCTCCCCTTCGATTTGACCCCCGACCACCTCCATCCCACGGCAGCAGCGTCGTTCACCGACATGCTCCAGCGCACCCTCCGCTCCGTGCTCTTCGTCATCGGCTTCCGGGACGGTTATTATCGCGGCCTGGGCGAGTTCCCATCGAGTAAGGTATACACGTTTCACTTCGCCCAGACATTACCCCTTACCCGCCGGGAAGAACCCGCCGGCGCCTTTCACTGGCTCGACGTCGACCCGCGGCCCGGCGTCGAGATCGATATTCGGCAACTGCCGCTTGGTGAGGACCCGCTCTTGCTCGTCCTCGGCTGGAAGCAGCTAGAGCGGGCGTTTGGCATCACCAGAGCCGCAGAACAGCAGCCGGGGGGGTGTGACATGGCTGGAGATGTCGAGCCGCGCCTTTACGTCTGCCCCCGTCTCACCTGGCCAAAACACGGGCGGGAGGAGCAGCTGCGGATAAACAGGCGGGGCGGGATGCCGACGGTGGAAGAGAACGGAGAGGAGGGGGTGGAGCCGGGACCCCGCGCGGAGCTCGCGAGGCACCTGCGCGAGGAGGCTGCGGAGTGGCAGCACCGTCGCACGTGGCTCCACGAGACCTACTCGCGCATATTCAATTGTCCCATCATGATGATGCCTAAGCAGGGTTATTTGCTGGACACCGAGACATCTGAGAGTATGGAACGCCTGCCGTGCACGGCCATCGGCCTGTGGCTGTTCCCCGCCGAGGCCTTCAAGCAACCTACCTACTCGCCGCGGCTCCTCTTTGACCTGTCGCCGGCCCGGCCTGGGTTGTTTTTGTTTGAGGTCTAAGGGGGGGCGAGGGGTTAGACCAGCGGGTTGCAACACCACAGCGGTTGTATATGGCACGGTTGGGCACTGGAAAATAGGTGACAAGCGATATGGATAGGAGAATGTGAATTGCTTCAAGTTGTTCGTTGTCTCTGTGTTGTGTAATTATGTTTTTCTGGGTGCCCTGTAGCGATCCAGGCTCTATTTTACCTCCTATATGCCTGGTCCTTCTGGGCTTTGGTCGCCTATGACGCTGTTGCTTGGACCACCTATGATTCTATTCCTATACCACAGACCTACGGAATACAGACCTATCTGTTTTGACCCACGCCTTGATATAGTTGTTGGTATCAATGACATTGCGTCAATGGCTAAAACGAAGTTAACTAATATAAAACACTAGTTAATGTCTCCCAGGCCCTTTATTTAAGCAGAGGTAAAAAAAAAAATTAAGGTCTTCACAAATCGCTGAAAATAAACCGAAAGAACATTGCTTGACCTGTGCCGTCCATCCAGAATTGTCCTGAGCCTTGACGTCTGCCCCTTTGTCGATTATTTGAGGCCAAAATCAGTGCCGCCACTCCAGCAGCTGGACGACGGCCTGGTGCCAGTTCATGGCGGCCCACAACAGCGGCGTCCGGCCATCGTTGTCTTTCGCGTCGACCTCGACCTTGCCCGTGTCGAGCAGCAGCTGGACGACGGCCTTATGCCCCGCCT